GGAAAGGCAYRAGATGYRACCTTTCCTTTAAAGCTAATTACAGAATTATAAGTACAAAAGAAATTACACTGAAGCCCAAAATAAAGTATCCCGGGAAACCCCTTGTTTTGCAAGTGAATCAACCAATGGATTTGCTGATCTGCCTACCCACTGAACTCTGATTGTCATATTCCTTGTTAACCATTTAACCTTTTGAGAAGATCTCTAAAACCCCAAATCACAGTGTCCTTCAGCCAACCCACTATCACTTGGGAATCTCCTTCAATAATCAGATGCTCTATGCCTAGCTGATTTGCAAGCTGGATTCCTTGTACAACAGCCAGTAATTCGGCCCTTAAAGAGTCTCCCACACCCGCACAAAGATATCACGTTACTATCTTTGTTTCTTAGCACTCCTCCTATGCCTGAAGGTCCTGGATTTCCTCAGCTACTTCCATTAAAGTTCAGCTTGATAAATTTCTCCCCTGGTGGCATCCATTCAACCCCATGTCTGCCCTTCCTGGTAGAAGTATTAGCCACTGCTAACCAACTTCTCCATAGGTCATCAAAAGAGTACGCATCAAAGATCTTTAGAGTTTTCATCCACTGAATTGCCCTTGTCAAAATACATTCTTTAACTTCCGAGAAGCTCCGTTATTTTTCACAAAAGATTCTAGTGTTCCTTTCTTTATGCAATTCCACATAATTCTCCCTCTCTTTGTGTGCCATTCAAAAATAGACGGACTAAACAACAAACTAGTATCAAATGGCAGGTTCCACCTACACTCAAACAACGTAAGAATCCAATTCCATAAAGCTGTAGCAAAGGAGCAAGAGATCAGTAAGCGGTGACTGTCCTCATTCTGAGATTTACAAAGAACACACCAATTAGGGGATAAGCACCAATTTAGTCTTCTCTTTTGTAGGTTTTCAAAGGTGTTAATCTTACCATAATAAACTTCTCAACGAAAAACAACAATCTTTGGGGGAATGGGCCTAGTCCAAAATTCTTTAACTGGGAAATTCTGAGGTGCAGAAGTGGAATAAAGGGACTTGAAGAAAGAGGAGCAAGTGAACAAACCATTCAGGTTAGGGGTCCAAATTCTTGTGTCAGGTTTGAGGGGATCTAAACAAATAGACTCAAGTGAAGACAATAAATCTGAAACAAATGTTAGAAATATTTATTTAGGACTGCAATAAATATTTATTTGTTTAGGGGCCACCATTTGGTGCAAAATATGCTCTAGTTGACTTAGGACTAGGAATAAGTCTAAGAGTGGTCACTTTGTGCAAAAAGATGTCAAAGGTTAGATCCGTATCCAGTCTATCCCTCCCAAATCCCTGGATAGCCGGGACCATCATTGGGTAATGGACCTTTTTTTATACACAGACCAGAAAAATAAGAAAAAGAGGCTAAGATGGCCTAGAAAACAGCACCCAAGGAATCAACCCCTAGATCAACTATTAGTAATTGACACCTAATAGCTTTTAGAGGAAACCAATACCATGGAAAAAAAAGAAATACTCAAAATTTAACAGCACAACAACAAAAAAAAGAAAAGAGAGGGCCATAAAGGTATATATAGGCAAAGAGGGGGAACACTGGCCTACCCTTACCTGTTTTTCCTATCTAGAACCAACCAAGAAACAATACAAAACGGTTATTGGGAATAGGACAACTCTTACTTGACTTATCACTAGGACTTTGACGTGTGATTCAAGTAGGACAAATCCTACTTGACATAGGACTAGGAATCAGACAACTCCTACTTGACTTAGGATTATGACTCTAATATGCTAAGATGGCTCTGTCGAATTAGAAAAACAGATCCTAGTTAATTAGGAAAAGCAACTCCTATATAATTAGGAAAATTGACTCCTAATGCAATTAGGAAAAACTATTAATGACTCAAAAAAAAAAAAAAAGATACAGAAAGATTACTGCAATGCCCCTACTATCAAAGAATACATTAAAATTCCAAAAATCCCAGATTTGATATATTGGCTTCTACATTATTCTCCTACAATTTTTTTTTTTGATTTCTTTTGAAGGGCTACACAACAGGGGTAGCCCATCCAACCCAGGTGCAGGTGGGATTTGATCCCAAGTCTCTGCTATGACCAGCAGGAGACCTTACCAACCAGCTGGTTAGCACCTTGCTTTCTCCTACAGTTTATCACCCTTGAGCTTTAAAGAACTTGAGGATAAAAAGCTGCTTGTCTTAGAATGCACTTCAGCAAATTTCCAAAGTTCTTCAACAAGATTGGATGTCAAGCATGTCTCTCATGCATGACAAAAAAGGATCTTCATAACTACACATGCTTGAAAAGTGATTGGGGCCGCTCTTCTCTTAAAGCCTAAAACATTATCCTCCATAATCTTCTCAACTAGATTATCAGTACTATCAACTACTAGCTAACTTATCTTTTGTTGAATCTTCTTTTCTCTTATCATTGCAAACCTTTTGGATCTGAAATCTAGTGCTATATTCAGTTTAATTATGATATGTTCCTTAGTGTCTTCATTTGACTCTACCTCTGAGGTCTGAAATCTACAATTACATCTTCTTAAACATTAACGTCAAACTGATCATGAGTATTAACATTCTTCTTTGAAGAATTTCAACCTCGGATGACTCAACTTCAAATTGAAGCTCTTGTAATTTTTAATATCAATTTTTGTTTGCATGTATGTATTTCTTTAATGTCATTCTTCATCACTTTAAAGTATTATCATCTTATTGTTCTTGCAATTTAGAGATATTGGAAGTTTTTTTTGCAAGATTTAGCATCTTATTTATTCCAACATTCCAACATTCAATAAGATGTACGAGTAAATAATATCTCCTTGGTTTGCAAAGAATTTATGCCATAGGGTTGGCCACTTTAATGTTTTGAGGAGGTGGTAGTTGGGAGGTTAGGTGTGGATTTGGGTAGGAGGGGGGAAGCAAAAAAAGATTTTAATGTGGTTGAATCTGCAACATCCAATCCGGGTAAGCATTTGGAATCTGGTCAACATGAAGCTGTAACTGAGAATGAGTCCATTTTTATTGTAAAAGGCCTTGATAAAAGTCTCGAAAGAAGGTTGGAGAAATTTGGAAGTATTTCTATTGAAGCAGCAGTTAAAAGGGATGTAGAAATTGTTTTCTGGGGAGGTGAGGAATTTGCTAAGAAAGCCTTTGAAGAGTTTGAGAGGAAGAAGAAGGAGGAAAGTTCGAGAAAGTGGGCATTTGGTAGAGGGAGTTGGGATGAACAAGGCAATAACAAAAAGGAGGTGTTTATAGGGGAAGATTAGTTTCTTCCCTCTGTTAGTCTCATCTTGCCTGTTCTGTAGCTGACCTTGTTTTGGTCTAGGATCTGGTTTTGGAGGAGTTAGTTTTTTTTTTTCTTTTTTTCTTCAAAGTGTTTCTTCATTGCTGGCTGTTTTAGTGTAAGAAGTGTCTAAGGTAGTCTGTTCTTCTCTCGGGTGATTTCTTATCACCTTTCTTCCGTATTCTCTTTTTATTTATTATGGAATTTTTTATTTACTCTTAAAAAAAATTTATAAGAACATAGCGGCAGATTATAAGCTCTAATACCAATTTGATGCAGGACAAACATGCAGAATAAGAAAAAGAGGCTAACTTTTATGTAGGAATCAACACTTGGGCATCTTTGGAACCAACACCTAAAGGAACTATTAGGAATCGTATCTAATAGTTTCTTGAAGGAATCAACACCACCAAGAAAATTAGAACCAGTCCAACATTAGAAGTAAAACTCATTATGTCAATTGATGTCTAAAAGAGAAGGCCTTAACATGTATTTAATGGCAAAAAGTGGAGCATTGAACAACTCTTTTCCCTTGTTTCCTACTCTAAAACCAACTAAAAAATTACTAAGACACTAAATTAGGAATAGGGTAAGACATTCTACTTGAGTTGTGGGACTGTGACTCCAATGTTCAATCTACTAACATGATAATGTCCAATTAGGAAAATCATGCAAATGCAAAACTACTAGCGTACCAATCAAAAAATAGCTACTTGAAGATTACCAAAGTACCTCTATCATGTATAACTACATAAAAATTCAGGGAATCCCAGATTTGACTTGTTGGCTTCTGCATCAATAATCATATACATTTATAAAATAAGTATGATATATGTGTTGTGTGGTCGTAATGTAATAAATATAATATATTTGGAAAGAGATTATGAAGTTCAATAAGGAATTCAGAAGTTTAACCGTTTCTCAGTAGGGGAAGGAGCAAGGATTAGGTTTTGGGAGGATGATTGGTGTGGGGTAGGCAAGCTGAGTGAGCTATGTCCAAGATTGTATAGGCGGCCGGGGACAGCTGGTTTGATGTCCAAAATTCAGAAGACCTTTGTTGGATAGGGAAGTCAATGAATGCATTTATTTGCTGGAGAATCTAGAGAAGGTGAAAATTTCAGATTGCTCAAGGGATGAATTATGGTGGAAAGAATGTTCACATGGGAATTTCTGTGAAATTCTACTACATTGCTCTAGCTAGGGACAATTCAAGCTCAGATCAAGCTGGAGTCCAGTTCCCCCCAGGGTTGAAGCCTTTGCATGGTTAGTGGCAATGGACAGTATTCTGACAGTGGACCACCTGAAATCGAGAGGTTTTAATATGGCAAACATGTGTTTTTCTTTGTAGAGTGCAGGAGGAAAACATTTGCCACTTGTTTTTCTCCTGCAAGATAGCTGGTTTTATTTGGAGGTTGTTCACAGCCATGTTTGGGGTTAGAGATTTTCACCCAAGATCACCTGCAGAAAATTTTTTCTTCCTGGCCAAAGATAAGAGGAAGCAGGAAAGCAAAAATAATTTGGAGCTGCATCCTTTTTAAAATATGCTGGAATATCTGGAAGGAAAGGAATAGAATAATTTTTGAAGACAAATCTTGGTCAATGGATAGGCTAGTGGCAGCAATCAGCAAATCTGTTTTTTTTTTTTTTTTTTTTGATAAATGATGATAATTTTATTAGATCATAAATAGGTTTGAGATTGAAAGCTCATACAACCCTTGGAGAGGCGCGAGTTGAAATCCACAATATAACAAGGGAAATTGGTGCATGCTTCAAATGGACAAGGAGATCAGCCAATGGTTTAGCTGACACGTTGGCTAAACAAGGGATTGTGAGGGAGAGTATGATCTGGGCAGTTTTGTAAGAATGATTACTGGGGGCTCAACACCTACTTAGAAGTTGACAGCTGTACTTAAATCTGGAAAGTTATTTAATGAAGTTACCGTTTCCAATAAAAAAAGTTGCAGCCTCCCCCAACAAATTACAAGGAAAATAAAGAACAACACAAATCACAATTGAGCCCAGAAAAGGTCTTCCCTGTTTGTCCCTTGCTTGGCTAACACATCTGCCAAAGCATTTGCTGATCTCCCCACCCACTGAATAGAAGTAGATATATTCTTTATCAGTCATTTGAACTTCTTGATTTCATTTGTGACGAGGCAAGAAAAAAAATAAATGTGTGAATGTATTCTGTTTTGTATGTTTTTCTTGTAGTAGGATCCCAAATTGTTGTTTTAGGGTAGCTTTGTTGCCAGTTTGGAACCAAGGGATATTTTCGTCATTTTATAAGTTAGACTTTTGGTTGGGGGCGGTTGGGTGCATATCTGTTGGGTTTTGGTCTCTTGAGTCTTTTTGTAACAAAAGTTATCTTTTGAGGGTTCATTTGAAGTTTGTTTGTTCTTAAGGTTCAGTTTGGAAGGAGTAGAAATGCAAATACATACAAAATAATACAAAATATAAGGCTTTGCACTCTACATCTTTGCATTTGTACTCCTTCAAAATTGAGCCTAAGGAGTTGCTTGTGAGAGGGAAACATTCTAGGGGCTTATGTGTAAATATTTTAACTGGCTTGCTGGAGTGAGTCTTATAAAAGAGAAGGGGGCTGTTTCTGTAGGGGTCTTTTTTGGTTCTTCCTCTCTTGTTTGAGCTGTAGCTCAGGCCCAACTAGGGTTTTCAAGCATTGGGAGCTTGGGTTTTGAGGAGTCAACCCATTTTGGCACCTTCCAATCCCTCCATTGCTGCGTGTCCACGCGGGAGGCCAGCTTGCTGCCATTGTTATTGTAGCGGAACTGTTCCAGGAGGAGTTTTACTTCAGGTTCAGGTATGAAATACTTAAAAATCTAACTTATTTTGCTGTTCTCAGCTTGGTATTCCTTGTGCTTATTGCTGTATACTTGAGGTATTGCATGTAATTTGTCTTTCTGTCCACATCAAGTGGTATCAGAGCAAGTTCTTTCCTTGGGTTTGTTTCAAAGTTCTCTCCTCCTTGTGTTTCTCTATATTATCATGGCTGTAAGGGGTGGACATGGTAGGGGTGGTAGAAGACCACAACATGTTATTGTAGAGGTTTTCCAAGAGGCTATAAGAGGATTGCAAGAATAGATTGAACATCTTGCCCAACTTGTAGCTCAAAATGCTGCTAGGGGTGGTGACATAGCAAATGATTTGGGGCTAGGAAGAAGAAGACAAGCTCCTAGAGTTGATGAACAACTCACTGACATTATTAGTGAAGCATCAAGTGAAGACATTGAGCAACCTAAAGGTGATCAGCATGGAAGGAATAACAACCAGCGCTGGGAAGACCGAATAGTGCAAGCTTTACAATCCAATCAAGGTCATGGTGTTCAACTTCATATTTCCGAGTTTGATGGTGAGTTGGAACCTGAAGAGCTTCTTGACTGGTTGGAAAACATTGAAAATTATTTTGATTGGAAAGAAATGAATGAAGAAAGAAAAGTGAAGCTTGTAACAACAAAGATGCATGGGACAGCCTTAGATTGGTGGAAAAATTACCAAAGGGATAGAGAAGGGAAGGGGAAAAGAAAGGTTAGTTCCTGGGGAAGAAAGAAAGAGAAGCTGAAATCCCAATTTTTACCACCAGACTATGAGCAAACTCTTTACCAAAGGGTGCAGAATTTAAGGCATCGGGAAAAGAGTGTGAAGGAGTACACAAAAGAGTTTAATAGATTACCTCTTCAGAGAAATATGTTAGAAACTAAACAACAAAAAGTTAGTAGTTATATCAATGGTTTGAGGTTGCCAATACAAGATCAAGTCAGCCTACATTGCTCGTATACGGTAAAGGATGCATATCAGCTAGCATTAAAGGTTGAAGCTCAATTGAGTCGAAGCTCAGGGCAGAGGCCAAGTGCTGTCCAAGGTACATCTTCATCAGTAGGTCGAAGTGTTGGGGCTGGTAGGGGTTGTGTGATCAACCAAACACGATCTACAGTCCAAGGGACTTCAAATGCAACAAAGAGCAGTCAAGGGCAGCTTACTATTAGATGTTTCAGGTGTATGGAGTTGGGACATCGTTCAAATGAATGTCCTAAGAGAAGGATTGTAGGGCAAACACATTTGGTTGATGAAGTCACTGATGAACAACAAGATGATATAGGCCATATTGAGGATGAACAAGTGGCTGAAACTACTGAAGCTAATACTTTAGAGGAAGAAAACTTGGATGGGGATATTAAGGGTGAAGCTCTAGTGATACGACACTCTATGGTTGCACCTCAAGAATCACTATTATGGGACTGGTTGAGAAAGAATATCTTTAGGACACGTTGTACAACTGGTGGGAAGTTGTGCAACTTGATTATTGACAGTAGTAGTGAGAATCTTGTTTCTCAAGAGATGGTGGATAAATTACAGCTCAAGACTATTCAACACCCCCGACCATATCGTATTCTGTGGTTCAACAAAGGAAATGAGGTAAGAGTTTCTTCTAAATGCCTCGTTAATTTTTCTATTGGTAATACATTTGAAGAATCGGTATGGTGTGATGCTGTCCCAATAGATGCATGCCATATTCTCTTGGGTCGCCCATGTCAATATGATCATAAGACCATTCATTATGGGGACAAGAACACATATAGCTTTGTGAAAGACAATAAGAAGATAACTCTTAAACCAATGCAACTTGATTCATTTCCAAAGAAGGAAACAAAGCCAATCACTACACTCTTCACCTCAAATAAATTGGCTTAAGAAGATGGGAATTTGGATGTTGTTTATGTGCTGGTTGCAAAAGATGTTAACACCTGTTCTAGAGTTGGTGAAGAAGCTACTTCATGAGTATGCTGATGTGATGCCTGAAGAATTACCCGATGGCCTTCCTCCCCTAAGAGATGTACAACATCATATAGATTTAATGCCGGGAGTAGCATTGCTTAACCTACCCCACTATAGAATAAGCCCTAAGGAGCATGAGGAGCTCCAAAGACAAGTAACAGAGTTGTTGAAGAAGGGGCTGATCTGTGAGAGCTTAAGCCCGTGTGTTGTACCAACTTTGCTCACACCAAAGAAAGATGGTAGTTGGCGTATATGTGTTGATAGTCATGCCATTAACAAGATTACAGTTAAATTCAGGTTTCCCATACGCCATCTTGATGACATGTTAGACACATTGGCCGGCTCACAAGTCTTTTCAAAGATAGACATGAAGAAATATAACAATGATTACAAGAAAAATAAGGAGACCTTTATACATTATTAAGTTTATAAAGGTCTTAGTCGGGACACAAACCACAGAACCATAACCAACATAATCAATTTATTCAGGTCAGTTCCATTGGGTAGACCTGATCGATTGACAACTCCACTTAACCATTGGGGAGCCCTTGTCTTTTTATGCGTACCTTCCCCATCTAAGTTACTTAATGTTCAATGATTATACTGTCATCAATTTGCCTTCTGGTGCCCCTCAATTCTAATTGTAACAGTATGAAAGTATGGAGGTTATTCAGGTAATATAACCCGTGTCTTTCGTGACATTGACATCAGTCATGCTAACTACTTTTCTATGCTAGCTGGTCACTTGTTTAACTTCGACAATAATGGAGAATTGCACTTTTCATTTGTTGTTGAATCATGTTTGTGGGCTTTTAGTTACCAAATGCATGGGCAAAATTGCAGAAATGCTTTATGTATAATATTGGAGATCATTCAGAGATGCATAATCAGTGAGTGTAAATCATCCATATTCATAAGAGAGGTGGTGCTCACATTTTACCAATAACTAAACCAAGCTATCGTTAAGTTAATTATTGCTATTATTTATGGTAATCACAGTTATTTGGAGCTATAGTTCTTTACTCATTAATTAGTTCTACTAATGTTGATTGTCTGAGTTATAGATATGCCATGTAATTGGCATATTCTGGAATAGAATCACATTAGGTTCTTCTGCTTTTTTAAGATTGATATATCCCCTTAATAACTTTTTCAAAAAGGTTATGGGCTGTTTATTTGATTGAACAGATAGAAATTCTAGAATTGAGATGATCTTATAGTTTCTTTCCTGAAGGTCTTCTAACATATCATTTTAGCCTGGTTATTTATGTTGGCTATTTTCTATAAATAGAAGTCTAAGATGATATAATCAAGTTTAACGTGAAAGTCAAATAATCCACACACAATGGCTCTTTGTTCAACATATGATAGAAACAAACTCAATATATGGACTTAAATACCGTAAATAAATCAATTTCTAGTAAAATCTTTAAAACAAGTCACCCTTGACAAAACTAAATATAATCAAAACAGTGACAAAGTAGATAACTGATTTGTAATTGAATTGATTTGAATCACAATGAATCATAGGAATTGTATAAATTGTAAGATTCGAACAAAAATCATGAGATTTTTGCAGAAAAGGATTCAAACATAAAATTCATATTGAATCCCTTGTGGTTCATGACTCAAATCATAAATTGTATTGTAAATCGTAAAATTTTAACAACATTGTTTCTATTAGTTTCATTTGCCCTACTTTTGTTTCTAGGTTTTCCCTAGTTTCTAGCATGGAATCGGTGGAAAGAGTTGGGAGTGAGGAGAAAGAAGCTCATCAAATGTGGACCCTTTGCTTGCATGCTTCCTCAGATTTATCCCGTGTTTCACCAGCTGTATTTGTGTACCTTCTTAAAGAATGTTATGCCCATGGTATGTTTAATTGGACTGAATCACAATCACTTTTTTATATTTGCTTTGCCTTTCCATTATTTGTAATACATTTAACGTCCTAAGTTTATAGCTTGTCTATTTATTTATTTATGTTGTCATCTATTTGCAGTAGAGATTATGTTCTTGTGTGATTCAAATAAAAGGCTATCTATGGTATATGCCTATATATGAATCAGATGGTAATTTCGACCAGGCCAGAGTTCCATACTCATGGTGACCACATCCTTATATGTGACTGAATGAATGAGTAGAGTTTTTCATTGAAAATATATGGATGACAGATAAACACTGGGCCAAGCCAAAGTTCTGTAGGCATGGGGTCATGCCCTCAATTGCATGTCAAGTTGGTGCTACAAAAACCTAGGTGTATCTTTTTGGACTGTACTTGGAAAATTCTCTTGTAAAACTAGTTGACAGGATCAAATCTAGGGTTTACCTTGGTTTGATATGATATGGAACTGTAACTTTGCTGCAGTAGTGTGGAACCATTTCTTGAAGGCAGTAAACCTAAACTGGTGCTTTCCCAAATTAGTGAAAGCACTCTTGGAAGAGTGGCAGGTCTCTGGAATGACTTAAAAAAGGGAAAGTTTGCTGGTTGGCTATTTCCCTGGCAATGATTTGGGCTATTTGGTGTGAGAGAAATATCAGAATTTTTGTACAGAAAGCTACATATGAAGAAGTCATCAATATGGTGGTGGGGTTTCTTAGAGATTGGCTGTCTATTCATAATGTATTTAAGAATGATAGTTTTGCTGTTTCTTTTTTGAGGATAGACTTTTTCTGAGGTCCTGATATGGCTTACACTTGTACAGAAACTCATTGTACAGAGGACCATATACTTTTGAATTAATAGAATATACTTTGCCTTTCTTCAAAAAAGAAAAAAAAGATATGCAACTACTTGCAGTCTTGACCTGAGAGGCCAGGGGACTGGGGTACATTGACAATAAATGAACCTTTATTGGGCTATAGAGACCTCAAAAAAGTGAAGTGGCTGACCAGCAATATGATAGTTGATGTTAAATGGGTAAGCAGGTTGGCAAATACTGTGGCTGATTCATTGGCCAAGCAAGGGGTATCAGGGAAAATCTTTTTAGGGGTAGTTTGTAACTTGTTCTAGTAAATCTAGGAAGCTGTATCTAACTTTTCTGGAGAGGTCACATCTCGTGCCTCTCCTTGGGATGCAGGATGCTTGTACTCCTTATCTTTGGTGATTAATAAAATTCATTCATTTATCAAAAAAAATAAAAAAGCAACCTTTTTTTTTTTTCAATTTCTGCACTTGCAGTCTTGACCTGAGAGGCCAGGGGACTGGGGTACATTGACAATAAATATACCTTTATTCCATTTCTGCATTTTATTTTAGACTAAACCAAACTAAGATATTTGTCCCCTTCTCTTCCATGGCTTTGTGCCAGACCTCTTAATTTGTTAAAATGCAAGAAAAGAGAAGCATTGTAAAGGTCAACCTGGTTATGCTATGTATTCTTTATTAACTAACCTTGATAGTCTGCAAAGGCAATGTTTTGTGCATATTTCCAAACACTTGTTTGCTGTTGATTGCGTTCTAAGTTCTAACCTTTTTAGGTACATGCAAGGCAACGATGAAGTTTCAAGTTCTTCAGCAACAAGTCCACAAAATGCTGCATAATGATCCTTACCCTGGACCTGCCACTTTTGTTGTTCAATGTCTCTATGTCATACCCTTACTAGGACCTCCATATACTGAAGGCTTCAGTCACCTGGTGGTATCTGCTCTTCGGCGGTTGCAAATTGGACAATCCATCCCAATAGATCTTTCTGAAGCAAAGAATCTGGCAGCGCAGTTATTTATCAATGTGGTTGCTGGCTTGATCATCCACGAGGACAGGATCATTGTAAAGCTGCTTGAAAATTTTGATGTTAGGTTGGAAGACATTGCAAGAGTTATATGTGGTGGATCAGAACTGAGTGGTGGTAGTTTGGACACAGCAAGGGCATGTATTGAACAATACATATGTGGATTGATAAAATCTAAATCTTATATGACAGCTGTGAACCTCTCAGAACGCTTCTCCATCTGCCAATCTAGCCAATGTTTTTTAGACTTGATGCTGGAAGGCAACCAATTCAAAGCAGCAGAAAAGTGGGCAGCATTTATGGGAAAGCCAATGTTATCTATACTTGTCCAAAAATATATTGACATGAAAATGCTAAAGAATGCTTATGAGATTATAAAGAATAACAATCTTCAGCAGGAATTTCCACATGTATACCATATGTACAAAGAGAGGTGTTTTTTTACAACTTCATTTGTCACCTCACTTTCTTTTCTATACGTTTTTATGGATTCTTGACACCCTTATGGTTAGAGGAGTGGTTTTCTTTTTTTCCCCTCAGTTAATTAGAATATTCCATTAAAATTGCAGTACACTAAAGAAGTTAGCGGAGAAAGGATGTTGGGATATTGCCGAGACAAGGACTAACAAAGATATTCAACTTGTTCAATACCTGGTAACAACTTGCTTTGGCATTAGATGTTGTTATATCACATCTTCGGGTTTGGGAACTTTGTTGGAATTTGTTCTTCAAATCATATGCATCTACTATTCTAAGAATAATCTGACTTTGGAATGGAACTCCTAAATGGGTTGCAAATTAATTTTTTTTTTTTTTTATTTATTGATAATGGGATGGATGGCTGAAGGAACTGGAGACAGTGACTTGGAAATACTGGGAGTTAATGAAAGGATTTAAGTGGTTAAGTAGAGATATGACTACTATCATCCAATGGGAAAGGAGACCAGCAAATAAGATGGCTGGTTATTTTGCAAAACATGGGGTCCATAAGTGTGTACTATTTTTGGCTCAATTGTAATTTGATCCTGTAATGGGGGGCTGCACCTTGTGCCTCTGTTTGGATGATTTATTGAGAAGAATAGTATATTTACAAGCATTACATTTTCTGCCCCCCCAAGCCAAGGCGTCAGCCAATCTGTTAGCTGATCTACAAACCCACTTAAAGCTAGTCCAGAAAACTTGGCTAGTATTTTTAAGCCAATCCACCACTACCTTGGAATTTCCTTCCAACTTTACATTTCTGAAGCCAAGTTTTCTACTCAGTCTTAGACCTTGAAGGGCATCTGATAATTCAGCCGTTATTGAGTTTCCACTTCTATTGGTCCAGAAAACATGGCTATTATTTCTCCATGGCTATTTCTAGATACTCCTCCAATGCCAGTCAAACCTGAATTGCCCATATCATATCCATCAAAGTTTAGTTTTGACCTGATAGGATGGTTTAAGGATCCAGAGTCTATAACCTGGTGCTTTAGGGATGAGATGAATAAATTTAAATGGCTAACCAGAAACATGAATTTGAGAATACGTTGGGTTAGGATAACAGCTTAATGCTATGGCAGATGTGTTGGCTAAACAAGGGGTAAATAGGGATAATTTGTTGTATTGGGCTCAGTTGTAATTGACTTTTGTAATTTGTTTGTTATGTGAGAGGTAGCATCCCGTGCCTCTTTGATACTGCCTATTTTCATTTCTCTTTAATAAACACTTATAAAAGTGTAATCCATGGTGAAAGGGGCAAAGATATCTAAAGTTTTTTTTTTTTTTTGCCACTGAATCACTTGAACCAAGAGGAGGCACGAGGTGTTACCTCCCCTTAAAGGTGATTCCAAGCCCAACTCTTTTCAGATTACAGTTACAAAACAGCCAAAAACAGAGAATCCCTTGAAGCCCCTTGTTTAGCTAAAGAATCTGCCAAAGCATTTGCCGATCTACTAACCCACTGAATCTAACTGACATGGTTCTTGTAAGCCATTTGACTTTTTTGATGATATCCCTATATCCCCAAACAACAGTTTCTGGGTCCGACATCCATCCCACTATCACCTTAGAGTCTTCTTCAATTATCAAATTAGTCACTCCAAGTTGTTTGGAAATCTGTAGTCCTTGTACCACAGCTAATATCTCAGCCCTTGTAGAGTCTCCATAACCCACTGGACTTGAGAATAAGGATAGAATGTTGTCATCATTTTTCCTTAAGATCCCTCCTATACCTAAATGTCCTGGATTACTTGACTGCTCCCATCAAAGTTCAACTTTACAACCCCTTCCATAGGGGGTAACCAACTTGCTTGTGTTTTATTTTTCTTGGATGAGGTGGAGGCCACTTCTGCCCAACTTCTTCGAAGGTCATCACTAGAGTAATCCACAAAGAGATCAGTAGTTTTTAGCCAAAGGATTGCCCTTGTCAGTATACAATCCTTTATTTCAGCAATGTTTCTCTCCTCCTGGAAAATTCTAGCATTTCTTTCCTCCCAAATGGTCCATAAGAGGGCTGCCCAAATGCATTTCCACATTACTTTCCCTCTCTTTGTTGGCCAACCAAAAAAAGACGGATCAAAAAGCAGATTTGCTTCAGGAGGCAGGTTCCACCTGTACCCAAACAGCATAAAAAACCAATTCCAAATATTTACTATAAAAGAGCAAGAAATCAGTAGGTGATAACAGTCCTCATTCTGCACTTTACATAAAATGCACCAATTGGGGGACAAGCATGAATAAGGTCTCTTTTTTTGTACATTGTTTGCAGTATTAATTTTACCATAATACACTTCCCAACAAAAACCAACAATTTTAGGTGGAATTGGCCTTGACCAAACTTCTTTAACTGGGAACAACAAGGGGGAAGGAGTAGAGCATAGGGACTGGAAGAAGGAAGAACAAGAGAAGAAGACACTCGAGGTCAAAAACCAAAATCTTCTATTTGGTTTCCTATGAACGAGATCTCTCTGTAAATATTCTCTCATTCCTTTCTTCCCAAATAGACGAGAAGATTGCTGCCCTTGTACATTTCTCCAGGAGAGTTCCACCTGCAATCAAATAGAGAAAAACCACTCTCAAATGCAAGATGTAAACAAACAAGGGATTAGTAAGCGAAAAGTAGATTTACTGCTTGCATTGCAAATAAAGCATTTATGGGGTGATAAAGCCTAATATTGCCTCTTTTCCTTTAAGGTCTCACAAATGTTGATTTTCAGATAATAGACCTCTTAATAAAAAGCCCTAATTTTTTCTTTGGAATTAACCCATTTCAAATAGCCTTAATTGGGAAACCTTGTGATGACTTTGGGGGATTGCAAATTAGTTCACCTGGTTTTAAGGTCTTAAGGCATAGATAATCAACTAATGCAATTAAAATGTAAAGTTACTGGTGTTGCAGTTCTATTTGCATTATGATAAATTGTGATCAGTCCTTGTAAAATCTAAATTTTGCATTGGATAAAATAACTAAGGTACAAACACTTCAGAATAAATTTGAGTTTAATGACTGTAAGACCCTATCTACGTTATCAGTGTTCTTCCAGAAGTTTCTAATTATGAACCATGGACCATTGAACATGGTCCATCTAACCACATGCTATGGTTTTTATTAATCTAGAATTATTTGTTGCTTTTATTTTTGGTTATTTGCAGTATCTCCCTCTGCACTTAACTTTAGTGGCCTGTAATCCGTATGTACTAGCAGACAAATTTATTCTTAGCAGAGAATGGTATGGTCATTTTCTAATAGAGTGCAATCCTTTTTTTTTATAATTGAAAAATTAATTCATTAATCAAACAGATAGATAAGTTACAAGTATCCCCAAGAAAGGCACGAGGTGAAGCCTCTCTCAAAAAAGGTTACACCCAACCAAAAAGAGGAAAAGTCTGAATAGACAAAACAGAAGGTTACACCTTGTAATCCTTTATTTTTATGCATCCGAAAATTTGAGTCTCACAGCACAATATTTGTGGTTATGGCTTGCGAGTTCCTAAATTCTTGGAGGGGTCAATGTGTTGAATAGGGTTTCCCACCATTTTTTCTACTGAGCTAAAATTGTAAATTGTGGACAGTTGTTGAAAATGAGGAATATATGGAAATGGAAGAACATGCACCATGTTGAATTATTGAAAATCATGTTATCAACTAAAAATTGAAAAAAAAAGACATCATCTGCATGTTCTTGTCTATTGTATTGCATTGCAGTTTATTGCAGTGTGCAAAGAGGCCACAACAATCTAAGGTTGTCTTAACACATCAAACCTGATATTGATGCTAATGTTTTTGATGTATTGGATATACAAGCAACTATGGTCCTTGTCTGGTAATGGAGGCTTCACATGACAAGAGGACAAAATATAAACCTTTTTTTTTTTGGTGTGTGTGTGTGTGTGGAAACACAAGGCGCCATTGAGTGTTAGGTGTTGTCCCTTTTATGATTAAGGGGCCCATGATAGCCAATCCTGTGAAATCAGCACCTATCTTGGGGATGTTCCTATTTCTCAATATTTGTTGCATCTCAAGTTCTGTTTGTCAATAGATTTTTTTTTTTTCTGCTTTCTTTTAATTGAAGTGCAGCAATATGGTTTCTAAGTACATTGTGACAAATAATAATTTCCTCCATTAGTAATGGAAACGATGAGCTAGCTGATAGAAATCACAAAATCTGCAAAAAAGATGAATGAATTAGAAGTTCTAGGGCTCTGGAATTTTGTTAAGAAATAAAGCACAGAGGTTGATCAATGTGGTAGTTTAGTTGTGTTGGAAATGGAGTATTCAAAAAATTTCTATTGATTGGCACTGGATTTTCTTTGGAAATCTTATATGTCAACATGCTACTTGAAAGTTTTTGATGGATATATATGTTTTCTAACAGGTGTATTTGGCAATGGAAGCGGGCTACTCAGAGAAGGTTGATGAATTATGTGAGAGATACTCCCTTCAAAGTCCTATGAAAAAAGGCATGCAAAGTCCCTCTCTCTCTCTCTCTCCAGAGAATTAAATTTGATTATTGGAATGAATTATTTATGGTGAGGGTGGTGAACTGGGTGAAAACTATGCCTCTCTTTGCACATTTCACTACAGAATATTATCACAAATTGGCAAACCGTTGCTGCCTATCTAGGATAAGATTACTGATCCAATGTTTGCCTCCAACTCAACCTAAGACCAAATTGAACTTTGAAGGCTGCAGCTTAGAGAATCATGGGACCTCTGGGATCGAGTGTAATTAGAAGATATTTTGGGACTTAAATGACATTTGTCTTGGGCCCTGTAGATATGGTGGCTCTACTAAGGTAGAGCTTTTGGAAGTTCTATAAGGGCCAAGGCTGAGTCAGAACTTTAACTATAGGAACATGGTGGAGCGTAATTCTAAAGTAGTAGTGGGATGGCAGAAGAATTGGATGCAAAATTCCATGTTGCTCCTAGATGTGCTAATAGTGTGGCTGATGCTTTGGGCAGACAAGGAGTAAATAGGACTCATCTATTTTGGGAGGAGGTCCCTTGGGAGAGCCTGATGTAACTAAATATGAAGAAAGGGGTAGGTAGTATATACTTGCCTACAAAAAGGGCCACCTTAAATTATGTACTAAACTTGCAAACCATTCTTTTACATATAAATAAAATGCTTAATGATAAAAAATTAGTTGTTGAATATTATTGGGCCAGTATTTTTTCTAGCTTAAATGTGCCATTTCTTATTTTTCTTTATTTGTTTGTTGAGTGGTCCCATGAATTATCATTTCATCCTTTGTTTGTAGTTTTCAAGGTGTCGAGGCAAGGCTAGGCAATAAAGGGGGCACCTTGTCGCCTAAGTTGGCACTAGGCGTCCCCTAGGCAATGGGATCTTTTTGAGTAAAATCCATGAATACTAGGGTAATTCCCTAGAGCATGTGCCAACCATCTTTCACTATTAATTGTCTACATAAAAAGTGTATAAACTTCATTTAAAACATAGAAAATCAACATATTCATGAAAAAAGTGGAAAAAAGAAAGAAATTTCAGAAAATAGAGGGGCTGAGCTTCTATTTTTATCCTAGAAAAGAAGAAAGAAGGAAGAAAAAGAAGTTTAATTGTTGATTGGACAAAAATTTGAGTTTTCCATGCCTTATTGGTTCAGGTTTTGAAGTCTTTGAGTTAAGAAAAATAATAAAAAGAAACTAATATTTTAGTTCAAGGTTTTGAAACAGGAACTGGAAGATCTTCTTAGGAAGGAGGAGATAAGTTGGAGGCAAAAATCTAGGTGCAAATGGCTAAAGGAAGGGGACATCAATACAAGGTTTTTTCATTCGTTGGCAAATGGGAGGAGAAGGAAGAATTTTGTTTCA